GGCTTTGCTATTTTTAGGACCCGCTGGTTCGTGTGTATTAACGAGCTTTTGTGAACGTGTGACTCTGTTACGAGGGCGGGGGGTTGATACCCCACGAGATCGTTGAAGCTCCCTGTTGCTTTTCTGCTCTGTCAACCCTGTGAGGCTCTTCAGGTCTCTAAGCTCTTTTTATAAAGGTCAGATTTGAGCCCAAATTGCCTGTGGATGCTTCCCTTCCCTAAATAAATGGGCGAAGCCTTGCGTATCGCCTTTGAATCCAACCCTTGGCTGCTGCCGAAGGCTGGCACCCACAATAGAAACCATAAATACCCAACCCTGGGAGTGGGGGTATGTTTATACGTCCCCTTAGCTTAAAAATACTTGTGATGCTGCAGAAGTGTTGCTGGATGCCCCGACTATCGCTGCTGCAGCTTGGTAGCCGGCCGCGGAGGCTGAGCGGTGCCGCATTGGGCTCCCTCTGTTGTCGGGCGCTGACAGCGGCACAGGAGCCGTGCTGGAGCGAGACGAACCCGCTGGCCTGCCTCTTGCAGGATCAGGATTTCTTTCACCTGAAAACACAGAGCAAACAGCAAGGTTGCAGAGCAGACGTGTGGCAGCGCTGACGTGACCTTATTGCACCCGGTCCTTGCCTAAAAGCACCCAAATGGGCTTTAAACTGTCCTGGTCTTGTAGCGGGAAGCCGTGACCCGGCAGTCGAGGACAGGAGCAGGATGGGGTTGATGCAGGTTTAATAATTGATTAGCAAGGTGATGGGGATGCTGGCTGCAGTGGCCCGGGGTTGCTTTGCTCCCTGTTTCCCTGTGCCTGTTTCTGATGCTTTCCCTGTCCCCGCAGTCATCCTGACGGATGAGGAGGTTCAGAGGAAGCGCGAGATGATACTGAAGCGCAAGGAGGAAGAAGCGCTCAAGGAGAGCCTGAAGCCCAAACTCTCGGAGGAGCAGCAGAAAGTCATCGACATCCTCCTCGAGGCTCATCGCAAGACCTACGACCCCACGTATGCCGACTTCACCAAGTTTCGGGTACGTCCAGGGCACGCCAGCCCCGATTCCCATGCGCAGGATCAAGCGGTTCCTGCCCGGATGCACCAAACCCGTTTCATCCCATGACCTCTCACTAGAGAGGAGTTAAAAATCCCAGCGCAAGAACCTTGATGCTGTTGGCAGCAGGCAAACGCCTGCCATCAAATTGCTCTCCCAGCCCCGTTCCTCACGTCCTGCTCTCTCTTCCAGCCCCCTGTGAGAAGCAACCCCAGCAACAGGGGGGCAGCAAGGTCCCCCTCCATTCTCAACCAGGACTTGTCATCGGAGGACTCCACCGACCTCTTTGGCTCCGATGCCTTTGGCACGTTTCCAGGTACCGCGCTCACCTCTCCGTATGCAACGGGGGTAGAATTGCAGCAGCTTTACCTAAGTCTGGCCATTCAGACCCTTGTTTTACCTCTTCTGGGGAGCTTATTTTAACTGTAAGACCCCCCTGGGGGCGTTGCAAAGGCTTTTTGTGCGCAAAAAGCATTAAGTGCTTGGCTGGATCGTGGCCCTGCGGACCTCTGTGTGTCTGAGCCCTCCAGGATGGCCAAGAGGAGCGTGACCGTCAGCACTGGGCTGCATCGTCGCTGCTCTGGCTGCGGTTAGACTTGATCGCAGCACAGGAGAGGAGTTAAAAGCCCCAGTGGAAAAATCTCAATGCTGTTGGCGACCAGCGAACGACTGCTCTCCCAACCCCGTTCCTCACGTGCTGCTGTCTAAACGCAATGCAGAGCCCTCCTGGCAGGACGGGTGCCATTCCCGCTGCGGGCTGGCGTCGCTCTCCTCACCCATAATGTCTTGCCTATAACCGAGGTACCCTCTGACCATCTCCCTCTCTCCAGAGTCTGTGGAGCCCCAGATGTTTTCAAACCTGGTCCTCTCCGAGGAGAATGACGAGAGCTCCTCCGTGAACATCGACTTCTCCCACCTCTCCATGCTTCCGCACTTGGCCGACCTGGTCAGCTACAGCATACAGAAGGTGATCGGCTTTGCCAAAATGATCCCGGGATTCAGGTGAGACGTTTGCTCCCAGATCCGACGTCTGTGGCGGTTCTCCACTCTCGGGAATCTCCTCCTACCCTTCACAGCCCGGTCATTTTTCTCTGTTTCATCTTCACAGCTGTCCCTCAGGCTCTGTTCCCTTCCCAGGTCTGTTCCTACTTTCATGTTTTTCTGCCTCTCCTCCTTCCTGGGGTTACTCCTCTCCTATTTCACCCTGATTCACACAGATTCTGTCAGCAAAATGCTGGAGCTCCTAAGAAAGATGCTCGAGACCATGGGAGTGGTCCCATCCTGGTTTGTGAAGGACCTCAGGTCCTGTTTAACTCCAGGCTGGTGCCCAGGGTGCTGGGTGGTGTAAATGGAGCTGCGGAAATACCTGCTGCTTAATTACCTAGAAATCTGGGGTGAGGGAGAAGCTGGGATGCCCCCAGAAAAGGGACCGGGTTTCCGATGGAGAACCTGGTGCGTGGGTGGTGTGGGCTGTTCCTTTGCTCGCCAGACAGGTCTCACCTCGCCCTCTTCCCCCTGCCCAGGAACCTGGCAGCAGAGGATCAGATCGCCCTGCTGAAATCCAGCGCCATTGAGGTGATCATGCTGCGCTCGAACCAGTCCTTCACCCTCGAGGACATGACGTGGACCTGCGGCAGCAATGACTTCAAGTACAGGATCAGCGATGTCACCCAAGGTAAAGGCTGCCAGGCACTCTCCTGCTTGCTGTGGGCTAAGAAATGTCATCCCAGCCTTAAATTCAGATGCAAAAATCCCATCCTGGGTAGTCTGGAAGCAGGGAGGTGTTGGCAGGCTGCACGGCTGCGGAAGACGGCAGCCCCAGCAGCTCGGCAGTGCCACAGCTGGGCTGAGACCCCCGTCCCGGCGTCAGCCATGCTCTGTTTATCTCCCAAACCCCACGTTGTGACACGCGTGCATCCTGCAGCCGGACCAGATGGCTGGAAAGAGCCATTAACTCCTGAAGAAAAGCAAAACGTGGCTGCAGCTCAGAGCTGTTTCCAGCCCCCCTCTGCCCTGCAACGGGGGTTGAGTTCCCTTTGCTCCGAGCTGCCGTGAGGGCTGGAAAGCCGCTGTGCCTTCCCACAGCCACTGCTCTGCAGCCAGGAAGCCTTTCTGCTAGGAAAGGTGGTGAATCCTGCCCTAAACCTCCCCCACTTTAGGATTTGGGGACCAGCACGGAGAACAGGGGGTGCAGATTAAATATATGGGCCTTAAATCTCTCAAATGCATTTGGAAGAGCTGTAGAGTAACGTAGGGATGCCGAGATCCTTGGTGCAAGGGCAGAGATCCCAGCAGAACCAGAGCGAGCGGCGTGTTGGGACCAGGCACAGGGCAGCTGGCGCCCACTGAACGCAGGAAAGAGATCGGCTTGCAGAGAGGGCTCTGGGCACACCAGGTGGGGTTTGTGGTGCCCGTGCAGGACACGGGGCAGCGTGGAAGTGACGATAAGGAGGCAAAATGTCTGTAGGTTAATTGTCTTTATAGATTTCAAAAGCAAAATCTGCTCCATCATCTCCTGCTTTAGAGGAACTGCTGGGGAGAAAAGTACAATTAAAACCAATGTGTTTTAAGCTGTTCAAAAGTCATCTTCCACTGTCCCAGCTCTCTGCTGCGCTGAAAGAGGAGCTGCTGAGCTCCACGCTCATCCCTTGGCTGGGGGAGATCTTGTTCCAGAGCAGGCTGTGCTCCAAGTCCTTTTCTCTTCCCAGCTGGCCACAGCATGGACCTGCTCGAGCCGCTCGTGAAATTCCAGGTTGGCTTGAAGAAGCTGAACCTTCACGAAGAAGAGCACGTGCTCCTCATGGCCATCTGCATCCTGTCCCCAGGTAGGAGGACACTCATCCCCCAAGGTCGCTAACCTCCCCAAAAACATCACCTTTCCCTGCCTCTCCATCACGGCTGACTGGGAAAAGGGACGGGAATCACCCTGCATCCCTGGTGTTTCCTAGATCGCCCAGGCGTGCAGGACACCTCGCTGGTAGAATCCCTCCAGGATCGCCTCTCGGAGATCCTCCAGACCTACATCCGCTGCAGGCACCCTCCTCCCGGCAGCCGCCTGCTCTACGCCAAGATGATCCAGAAGCTGGCAGACCTCCGGAGCCTGAACGAGGAGCACTCCAAGCAGTACCGCTGCCTCTCCTTCCAGCCTGAGCACAGCATGCAGCTCACGCCGCTGGTGCTCGAGGTCTTCGGCAACGAGATATCCTGACTCGGACCGTGGGGTTGAGCACCCACCAGTAAAGGGATAAGTCAGCCTGGCTTCCCCGAGGCGGCGAGCGGAGGGACGTGACCCTGGGCAGGAGTTTTGTACATAGATGGTTTGGTTTCACACTACTGGAGGTCCTGCTTTGTCTTCTCATCCACGGCGGCCGAGGTTTGCTCGCTGCGGAGCAGTGACAGACCCAGATCCGTGTGGTTTCCCCCCGCTCCGTGAGCAGCTTTTCCGCTTCCCTGCTGTCTACGAGAGCTGACTTATCCCTTTATGGATATTTTGAGGCTGAGCTGCCTCCAATCACTGCTTGACCCAAAAAATCAGGCTGCTTGGAAGGAGAAGCACTGGGGTGGTTTTGTGTGGGGAGACAGACTCACGGCCGTTCTCTGCTCCCCTCTTAAAATCTGCAACGCTCACCCCGCTCGTGTCAAAAAGGGAGACGCCAGTTGAATTGCACCCCCCGAATCCCTGCCAGAAAACGCCGTGGGCTGCGTCCCCCCACGCGTGACCAGCTAAAAGCACTCCCGTGAGCTGCTGCCAGGCTGGGACGAAGCCAAAGCCATCTGTGTCAGCCCCGAGAGGGGGAATTTGTCCTCGGCCCTCAAAGGAAACAGCCGGAGGAGCTGTAATTTGTGTTCCCAACACTACTGCCGGGCTTTGGGGGAGCCGGGATATCTCGGGGTGACTCCTCCGCTCTCTCAGAGCTGAACCCCTTTGCTGTGGCTCTCGGGCAGGGCCCCCCGCAGCCCGTGATGGCAGCGTGGGTAACGACCGCGGTCCCAGCTCAGCTTTGGCACTTTGGGGTGGCCGGAGCCCTGCTGGAACCGGGTGCCGGAGGCTGCTCGGTGCCGCTGTCCCCCCTCAGTGCCCAGGGGGGCGATCCCCGGCGTGGGGGGTCCGGGAGCAGGGAGGCTCCTGGGCTCCTTCCCTGAGGGGACCCAACTCGCTGCCGGGTAAATAAAATAAATTAAAATGAACTCTTCCTTGGGAACAGCGCCTGGGCTGGTTTTGGCGGGGGGCTGTGTGTCCATCTGTCCCTGTGTGGGCTGTGCAGGACTGCGTCTGTCTGTCCATTAAACTTTATTAAACAGGGAAGGTGTGTATTAAACAGTTGTTTAATATCGTTACCAACGATAAAGGGGATCCGGGCACCCCGGGTCGCTGGGCCCGGGTTTAACAAGGCTCAGGGCCGGGTCCTGCGCTCGGGGCACAACAACCCCAGGCAGCGCCGCAGGCGTGGGGAGGAGCGGCTGGGAAATGGAAAAGGCCCTGGGGGTGGTGGAGAGCGGGTGGGTGGGAGCCGGCAGGGTGCCCGGGTGGCCAAGAGGGCCAGCGGCATCTTGGCTTTTATCAGG